CTATTTTCCATTCTCAAGCACAGAAGTTTTGCAAAGGCTATTTCTGTTTGCTCGTCCTGTCGTGTACTTAAGATTATATAAAGGACACAGTAGAATGTGGAATACAGCCATAGCAAACTAATGTATACAAACAAAGAATAAAAAATAGGAAGAAGCTTTATCTTGTAAATCACCCAGCAGGAAAAGGTTCCTTCCCAACTCTGAGCTGAGGTAGGCTCTTCAAGGCAACCACAACACCTGCTGATGGATCCTTGCACAGATCAAACCTGTGCCAGGGAGCAACACCTCAGAGCAGAAATCGCCTTCTGTAGCCTTCCAGCGGACGCTCTCCCTTTCTACACACGCCAGACAAAGACGCTCATTTGACTGTCTGTAGCCAGCCTTATTTTCCTAATCCCCTCTGCAGTCCCAACTCATCTCTTGCCTTAGATGTTTCTCTTGTTACTCCATCTCCCAGCTAACATAGTCTACCACCAAGGCAAGGCCTGTGTGAGCTGTAGAGATTTAAATATAATTACTTAGTTAAATCTAAATTGCTTATCCAAATTTCAACAGCTATCTCTAAATCTGTGCTTGATTTTTGTAAGCTTTAGCAGAATAAAGGTGTTAGGCTTGGTCCACAGGTACCTCTCTGGACTACCATGACTAAATCCTTCAGGAAGTCTGTCAGAACCTGCATCCCATGCTGCACGAGCAGTGTGCCACAGCCACTGGCCTCACGAGACACACTAATCATGTTCTCGCATCACCCTCAATTTTCAGCCCCTGGGTTGAAACTTAGATCCTTCAGACAGCTGCTTACAGACAAAGGCGTGCAAAGGAAGTGGAAATGACATACAGAAATGGATCAAAGGTGCTGGGAAAGCCTAGCCCAGCATTTCACAGTCTAGGTGAGATTGTTGCTAAAGAAAAGGCTGTCCCTTCCTTGCCCAATACTCAATTAGAAACCCACTCCAAGATAACCTCAGAGGAAGAATAGAAGGAATACGTGCTGGGAGTCTTGGTACAGAGCAGAGTCCAGCCATCTTCAGACCTGAAGGCATGTGGTAATTGCATTCCTAATTCTGTTACACAACTGGTGTGCTGAGGGAGGGAAGAGAAGAGCGCAGACAGAGGCCTGAACCCTGCAGGAACGGGCTCTAGCTAGCACTTAGTGGAGCCATAGAAGTCTCAATTTAGCAGTGATGCAGGAGAGCTATGGCAGAAAGTAGCATTTACCTTGTAAAAGGTACCTGGCACTCAAATGGATGTTGATGCTTGCATGGAGACCAGAAATGAGCCTGTAGAAAGCTCGTTTTTCTACACAGACACCTGAAAAGAAACGGGCAGCTTCAGATATTGAAAGCTTACATTGAACTTTCTTGTCTCAGCTGTCAGACAGAAATCTAACCCCACCTGAGTGTGGCCAGTAACTCCCACCCATGCCATGACCATTCTGTGTTCATCCCAGGAAAATCAACCAAGATTAGATAAGGGATTACCTTTCAGCCACTTGTAAAACGCGTGCCCTGGAAACAGAAGAGGAAAACAAGCACATCAGTTTGAGGGTTCTGCCCAAGCCTGGTGCCCTGAAACCACCTCCAAGGCCAGCCCCAGAGCTGCTCTGCTTGCTCCGGTTCGCAGAAGCCAGGAGGGGAGTGTTAAAAGTGCATGAAAATAGTTTTTCTCCCACCCTTCTGACGGATGCTTCTATAATACAAGCAGCTAAACACAGCACATGGTCTTCCCACCCATCTCGGCAAGTGCTGCAGAACAGCACAGCACAGGGGGACGCAAGGAGCATGGACTGCTTTTCTCTTCTGGCCAAGGTGGGGAGAGGGGCATTTTGTTTTGCTGTTTATAAAACAAACAAACAGCACAACAACCCAATCAAGCAAAAAAACCCCACACAGTGCAACCAAGTGCGTACAGTCACACAAGGCAGTGTTTCACACTACCCCTGCTACTTGCTTGTAAGTAATCTGGAGAACATAAAATGATTTGGAGATAATGTGGAGACAGAAAGACATGGCATACACACAGGCCCTGTGCTGCAGATGGTGAAGTGCTCCAGAGAACAGCCTCTCCCAGATGTGAGCCCTGCAGGGCTGAGGGAGTTGGGTACCAAGCTCCTACTGGCTGTCTATGAGTCTTCGCAAAGCTCCAGCCTGAGAGCTGCTCTCTCAGTAACAACAAGTGCTGAAATAACCACAGCACAAGTCCTGTCCCTGAAGACTTACGACACTTCAGTGACTATCTTCACATAGTCTTAAAAACCTGCTAGTGCTTTTTAAGACCACAGAAGGATGGGCTGACCCCAGGGGCAGGGAGCTCAGGGAGATCTCTACACAGGGTCCTGAACACGATAGAATTTCAAGACGACTTCTGATTTGCCTGGAAAAAGATTTTGCTAACCAGGTGCACTAGCTAATGGTACAGCTCTTGACAGCACAACAGAGACACCACATTTGTTTCTGTTACTAGTAAAACCAGATAGAGTGCCACTCACCTCCATCGTCTCCTGATGAAAAAAAAAAAGGAATGGTGGAGGAAAAGAGATAAAAATTACACACAACCAAAATTAAACCCCAAAGCACAAGCATTAAGATTGCTCTGTTAATCTGCTCTGACAAGACAATGAGCCTCTCCAGGGAGGCTTAGGAATGTTCTGAACATCTTGAGCTGTGGCAGTGAACATACCAGATGAACAATGCTACTGAATGACCTTGACCAGCACGGAGGGGATTGATATTTGCAAAGCAAGTAAAACCACCACACAGCTGAACCAGAGACCAGAAAACAAGGGACATAAATCACAGAATCATAGAATGGTTTGGAAGGGACCTTAAAGCTCTTTCAGTTCCACCCCTGCCATGGGCAAGGACACCTTCCACTAGAGCAGGTTGCTCCAAGCCCCTGTGTCCAACCTGGCCTTGAACACTGCCAGGGATGGGGCAGCCACAGCTCCTCTGGGCAACCTGTGCCAGTGCCTCAGCACCCTCACACGGAAGAACTTCTTCCTGATATCTAATCTAAATCTCCCCTCTGTCAGTTCAAAGCCATTCCCCCTTGTCCTTGTAAAAGTTCCTCTGCATCTTTCTTGTAGGCCCCTTTAAGTACTGTCTACCTCTGCCAGAGATCTCCTGTATGACCTCTAACAGGATACTCAAAGACCCCATCCCTGCTTCCTGCAGTTTGTCACTTGCAACAACTCTGGCAGGTATGAGATTCTCTGTTTTCATGTCCTCCTGCTTCCTCATCTGCGAAAGGTATCCCTCTCCCCTCAACATACCTGTGTTACTTCATTCAGATCTTGCCTTGAACTGAGGTGGTCCAGGGAAGCACTGGTATTTTCAAGGACATTGTACATTTCCTTCACCAGTGCTGCTCCTGAAGTGCCACTCCTTGCACAAGGGGCAAGGGAGGGGGGAAGCACCTACACAGTTCAGGGAAAAATCACGAGATCCCCCCAGAGAGCATTGTTCGGGCAGTGTTCAGGTCAAACGAACAGGGAACAAGGCTGAGGATACTCTACTTGTTTGGGCACAATGGGGCATCAGGAGATGTGGGGTCTCCTAGGAGCCTTGAGCAAGAAGCTCTCGTGCTTCCAAAATCCTTCCCTACTTTCATTTACACCGTATAGTCTTTTCCTTTGGGGCAGATTTTCTCTTTCTAGATGGTTTCCACAGACAACCCCAGCCAGGTTCTCATTTCAGATTATCACAAATGGTTTGGTATTGCTGAATACAGAAACCAGGGACCCAGGGAGAGTTCAGAGTTCAGCCCTGTTCCCAGTCCCTCCAAATTTCACATTTCTTCCAGGAGTGGAAGATCAGACTTTCCTTCTCCATGATGAATCCTAGAAAGCCACATTTCCAGATGCCCTTGTGTTAACCATAACATTCTACATATGATCAAGAGCTACAACACGTTTTGCATTCAATAGGAGAAGTAGGTCAAGAGAGTATTTACTGTTCCTGGGGCTAAGATCAGTACTTAGTGAAATAAATAAATGACTCACCTCTATCAGATTCCAAAGGTCTTTTTACATTCTGAGGCCTAAAAAATCATTTAAATAAGACATGTAAATAAGTTAGTGTCTCCTTGCTGTGCAGAAACACAGTACAGCAGAAATAGTTATTTCTCTGCAGTCAAATGACCTAAGGAGATCTAAGAACCCCTTCTGTGCTTTAGCTTTGTTCAGAGAGGAAAAGGACAGGGCAAAATGAGGCTTTCTCTGAGGTCATGTTGTTTTGGGGTTTTTTATTTCTTTCTTTATTAAAAACAGCTAGGAAAACTTGAGTGCCTACAGAAGTGCTGATGCATATTATCGCACAGCCCTGGTGCAGCATGGTACACTAGTACGAATGGAGAGGAGAGCCCTAGAGACCACAGTCAAGACTGCAGACCAGTGCCCACCAGAACTGTGCATCAGCCCCAGGGGTACCCCCAGCAGAGCTCAAACTGGCGCACAGCCCAGGGAGAGAGCTCACCTCCCCTAGGTGGTGGCTGGGGAGGGCAGGACTGTGTGCCCAAGACCACATCACACCAGAGCTGGGCAGCCCCTGCCAGGCTGCTGCTTCGCCACACCGCGGGGCCTGCATCAGGAGCCTGCACCAGGGCAAGCCATGGTACAAACAACAGCCAAGGGGGGGTCATGGGGCAGCCACACGCCTCATCCCCTCCCCTGACAGCCCACACTGCACAAGCGTTGCATCTAAGACAGGAGGATGGGGATTAATGGGACAGTTAAAGCACATGCAGCCCCTCTGCAAAAAAATCAGCACCTGCAAGCTTGTGGAATCTGTTTCCCAAAGCACCTACTTGAAGCAGTTTTCCTCATAAATACTGTTCCAAATTTTCCAGGCATCTGGTCCTTTGTAGCCAGTATAGCGTTCAGGGTTCAGGAGTAAATCCACGTACTCCGCGTCAGGAGAAAGGATGTCTGTGAAGCAGAGTGCTGGGTCAGTGACAAAAAACTTGTGAAGGACTGTCATCTCCATCTAAGCTGCTAACTTCCTAAACATGGCAAGACCCTGAGCAGTGATGAAGCTTTGCCAGTGATCTTTGCATCATATTGGAACTAGATGATCTTAAGGTCCTTTCCAACCCCAACTATTCTACGATTCTATGATATTGTTTACAAACTACTGAGGGGAGGTGGAATAGAGAAGAAATGCTATATATGGAATATCACACACTGTCCTGAAAGTTCTGCAGAGGTGCTTAAAATCCCATTACAAGACTTGTCAGATCTACGAGGCCCCTGTACCATCAGCTTCGCAGAAGCTGTCTGAAGAGTCATCGTGCTGTGTCCACTGGAGCACTGCCTGCTGGGTTTCCTCGCTGCAAAGGAAGTGGAAAGAGACAATCAGAAAGAGCACTGATATGAGGTTTCCTTCAAGAAGAGTAAGGACTGTGGAGAAGGAAGTCAAACCTCAAAGAGCCATCAACAGCTCCCAGTCTCTCGGCTTCTTCACATTCTTCAGCAAGATTATTATTGGCTTCTTCCGAGTACTGGGTTGAAAAACAAAGGGGTGGGGAAAGAAAAGGATTAAAAAACAGGTTTTTTGCTGTTATGAGTCTGCCTTTAATACCTTAACCTGGGTTAAGCATCAGGAACATTTTCATGATTCATCCCACCCTGTGCTTCCACAGGATGTCTGTAGATATCCAAAGGTTTGTGCAATTGCCATGACCTGCAGTTTTTTGCCTCTGGCCCTGCCGTAGGGGCATTTTGTCCCTGATGCCACCTCAAAGGCTCTATAGCATGCCAAACACTTGAAGAGGGTGAAAATTTAGGCACAAATACTGCCCATCTGATTAAGGCAGCTTTTATCAGCTGCAGGGACATGGAACTGGCCTTACACGCTTTGTCATATTGTGTACACAGACACACCTACCTTGTAACTTCCAGATCTGATTCCATCAGGGACTTTGTCCTGAAAGACAAAATGGAACATGTGTTTCATGTGGAGGTGATGAGGCCTTTCAGCCTAATCTTTGAGAAAGATTAGGAAGGTTACCACAGTTTCTAGTAGTTAGAAGGTAATCAAAGCACTCAGCTCAGCTTACAACACATCAAACTCCTGGCTCCTCCACAGACTAAGGTTAAGCAATATTCTTGGGTGGTTTATTTGGATTTTTCGCAAGACTCCTCAAAAGGTCAGCAGCTTGCCACGCAGCTACATCAGGTTATGTTTTGCTTACACAAGCACGAGGTTGGGGAAGCCAATATAAACCCCAGAGGAGCTGGAACACCTCTGGTCAGCTGGTGACATCCTGTCTACCAGTGATGCCGGCACTCCTCAGATACTGCACGACTGATACACGTCATTCCAAAACTTCCCGTTTGCCACTCCATCACTTAGTGTCTGGCCTGCCAGCCCCACACAACCCAAGCAGCAGGCCCAAGACAATTCCATCCTCAACTTCCATTTCCTTCACCAGTGGGAAGGCAGTAAACCCACTTCAACACTGCAGAAGGAAATACTATGATGGCAAGTAGCACATGAAGAGAAAAGTTAAGCAATGAATAAGTTATTCTTATTGCTTTTGGTATAAAATGGACCCAAATTAAAACAATTAAGAACAGCAGTGACACAATCAGTGCTTAAAATAAGAACAACTTCTTCCCTGCAGGATGACCTGGGCAGGCTGGAATTGTGGGCTAACAAGAACCTTATGAAGTTTAACAAGGATAAGTGTAAGGTCTTGCACCTGGGTAAACACAGTCCAAGAGCGCAGGACGGGCTGGGATCTACCTGGCTGGGGAGCAGATCTGTGGAAAAGGACCTGGGGGTCCTGGTGGACCAAGCTCAATAGGAATGAACAGCGTGCAGCTGTGGCAAAGAAAGCCAGTAGGATGCTGGGTTACGTCAATAAGGGCATCAGCTGGGATAAAGATGTCATTGTCCCATCTATTAAGTGCTCGTCAGGCCACAACTGGAATACTATGTTCAGTTTTGGTCTCTACTATACAAAAAAGATGTGGACAGGCTGGAGATGGTCCAGAGAAGGGCCACAAAGATGATCCAAGGACTGGGAAGCCATGTGAGGAAAGGCTGAGAGAGCTGGACTTGTTCAACCTAGAGTAAAGAAGGCTCAGGGAAGACCTCATCACCATGTTCCAGTATATAAAGGGAATCCTTTTACCATGGGACTCCCTTTTTACAAGGAGTCCCATGGAAAAGATATGGGGTGATGGACACAAGTTATTCCTGGGGAGATTCCAACTGGACACAAGAAGAAAGTTTTTCCCAATGAGAACAGCCAGCCATTGGAATAATCTTCCCAGAGAAGTAGTTGATTCCCCAACAGTGGACACTGTTAAGACTCAGCTGGACACGGTGCTCTGGGACATCTAGTCTAGGTCATGCTTTGCCTAGAAAGGTTGGACCAGATGATCCTTGAGTTCCCTTCCAACCTGGTATTCCATGATTCTAGCTAATACTAATGCAATTGTAACATTACTCCATCACATCGGTCATAATCATTACTAAAGACATTCTTTTTAAAGAAAACAGTATTTAAGCAAAATTCAGGATTATTTTGAGGGGGGGAAAAAAATCACTATTTCCATGGGTCCATAATAAGTGCTTTTTGAAGACTAGGGAAGCAAAGGACACTTGTTTAAGGGGTAGAGTAGTAGAAGACAAATTTAACATACATATCAGAATTTACGTAACACAAGTGATATCCACACACCCCCCCATACCAGAATCTTCCAAGGTGTTGTATCAGCTCAGATGCTGGGTTTTTTCCAGCTAACAGCTACACTGCACCATGGTAGTTAGCAGGTGAAGGGGACAGACACCTGTTTCACTGCAGCAGACATTAAATTATACATGAAAATAAACTACTGCATTGGGAAAACGCATGTGAATAGGGCCATGAGGCTTCTGCCATCGAGAGCACTCATCACACTGTTGGCATGGCATTCCCCTGTGCACCATCAGCATACAACTGGCTCCAGAGACTGGGGAAGGAAAGGGTGAGACAGCCTGTTGCTGGCTGTGACCCACAAAGCCAGACTGGGTGGTATTTTCACCACCTCTATCAACCCAGCGACCAAGTTCTGATTTACCTGCTGTCTCATCCCCTTCTTTTCAGGCAGACACCTGTGGTCAAGGTGTTTTCTTTTGTCCAGCAGACAGGGTCAAGAGTGTTTGCTTTCATACTAAGAAAAAAATACTGGCCTCTGGAAGAGCCACTGCATGTAAAGAGAATGGGCTGGAAAGGTTGAATTTATCAGCCAAAACTGCAAACCAAAGTGTGGCTCATTGGCCAACTATGAACATCCTGTCATTTAACATAAGAGGCACTTCTTGTAACAACAGTGGATTTGCCCAATACCCACCCATTAACGCCAAGAATAAGAGGGTCCAGGACAACGTTTTAGCCATTCATGGAAGGTCCAGCTATTAAAAGCCCAGCTTTCCTTTAAACTGTCAGAATTTAGCATTTTGGCCTTTCTCATGGATACCAGTATTACTGCACCTAAGAAAGCTCCATCAGAGCCACAGTTTTGCTGCAGCTACAATAATGAGTAAGTCATTTGCCTGCTTCTTCCTCTTGGTCTGCAAAAAGCCTAATAAAGGTCAAAGAACGGATTTGGTACTTACAGATGGGCAGGGGTTTACAGCACAGTCTCTTCTTCCACAGTGACTGTTGTCATCCCAAAAAGGACAAGGTTTCTTTAGGTTTACCTGCAAATAACATAGTATGCTGTTACACATTTCCTCCATGCAACCACACCAGATTTACCAACACACATCGTCAGTGCCTTACTGCAAGACTTCAGGTTTAGTGCAAGGTGGAGTGCAGTGACAGTAGAAACAGTTGGTGTTATTTATCTTAACAATATAAAAAGCTCACACTCATTGACTTGTCTCTCACACAAGATGTGTGCACCTGTGCAACCTGACCAGGACTGTTTATGGTAACACAGAAGACGGGGGACACAGGCCACTGATTTCTCATCACATCCCAAGGCTCGTGTCAAGCCACAACAAGCTTTTGGCCAGGTAGTTTGTATCCTTTAGGAGCCAACAGTCACTTGTCGGCCTTGGAATATTGCTGACTTCGCTCTCTGTGAATCTTAGGGGACGTTTGCTCCCCACTGATTTTGTTTCCTTGCTTTGGGCATCTTCAGAACTCAGCCTGCCTCCCTGTCAGAGGAACAGGGAGAGGATGTCCTAGAGCCCTGCTGCCGTGCGCTTGTGCCCAGAGCACAGCTCTTCTGCTGTCAAGTCATCTGTGACCTGGATGTGTCAGTGTGTGAGCCTTCCAGGCATGACAGGAACAAATAACTCCTTGGTGTTCACCAGACTGATTGCTATCACTCGTGTCCTTGCTGTCAATACAGGTTATTCTTTTAATCCTTGCTTTGCTGGTTCTTCTGGTGCTTTCACACACAGGCATTTCTATTCATGCTTCATTCAGACCAATCTTAGTATTTCTGCTACAAATCCCAACATGGGAAGGGGAAAGGACATGCACTTCTTTAACAAAGCCTAGTCTTCCTTTTCTGTGAGTTGGTATCAAGTATTATTCTTCCAAAACAATTAACAAGATTTTGTGGGTTTGGTAGAGAGGGTGAGCAGGGAAAAGCAACTTTACCCCTGTGATTTTATATACGGGCCCATTAATTCAGTGAAGTTGGGAACTTTTAAAATTATTCCTATAGAAAATGTTTGTTTTGTCTGTGGAAACAATCAGGCAACAGTCGCTGTTCAGTATCTGTACGCAGCAGGTAAAATACCACCCCGTAAGGCAAGCACACTCAAACAAACCCCACGTTTAGTCACATTCATGTGGTCTCATGCCAACGGTCTGGCAGTAACAGCCATCATGTCACCCAAATGCCTGGTAACTAAACCTAGCTCTCCACCTCAATGGGGAGACACTATGGAGACACTCATTATGCAACATGGATCTCTGGTCATCAACATTTTTCAGCCACAGCTCAACAGAAAGAGTCATTTCATTGGTTTACTGCTTAAGTTCTTAAGAGGGAAAAATGCATAAGGAAATACCTTTAAAATTGTGCATCTCATAAGCATATTGTATGACATTAAGATTCTCCTAATAATAGAAGAATCCACCTACTGACTGTGTTCTTAAAAGATCAGGATTAAAATGTAGGCATCTGATTTTAGAAAGATCAGCAATAACTTCAAGGGAGAGTTGAAAAAAGAAAAGGAGAAAAAAGCAGTAGCACACAAAATAAATACTATTCTTTTATGAGAAAATTACCTTGTAGTATCTAAAATAGTCACTTTCCAGAAGTTTATTCAGTCTAGGAAAAAGCTTGTAGTTGTTGAAGGCATCAATGGTTTCTACATCACAGGTACAGTCATCTAAATGGCCAGTAACCTGTTGGATAAAAGAACAACAACAACAACCAAATATGAACAACTTCACCAGTGCTTTTTAACACTGCAGACAATAAAACAATTCAGAATTGTCTTTCCTTTTACCAGCAACTTGACTAGTTAAGTTTAAACAACATTAAACCAGACTGTGATGATTGGCAGAGAATTTCTTCTGATGCATCCTTTAGGAGGTGTCCCGTATTTGTTGCTTGGGACAGGCAGTTTTCTCTGGCAGCACTTTTCCTCTAACACACATAGATATATTAGAATTCACTGATGTCAGAGTAATAGGCATCAGATGGACACTTCTGTCTCTAAAAAGCAGAAATGACAGGACACATCCATGTGTCACACACATACACAAAACCCACACAGCCCTTGTCCACACATCAGACACAGTTACAATGATCCCAGATGTTTTGGTTGAGGCCAAATCCAGCAAGACCTTGATATTGGCTGCTGTAAGAGCTGGGAGCCATAGGCACTGCCAGCTCAGGCTCCCGACTGTGACCGCCTCAGTCTGTCACTCCTGTAGGATGGCACACAGATGAGAGTTGGCATTTGCATAAGGGACCAGTTGTGCTCCAAGAATGCCACCAAAGATCATGGCACCCAAAGAAAGTCCCTGTGGTTAACCAGCTGTGCCTCAGCCATTTGTTTGATTTAATCAGAACCACAGCAAGTGCAGAACAAGCTCTCTCCTCACCTCAGAGAGCTGTTCAACAAAAAAACGTTTGGTTTAAATGTGATGTAGAAAGCCAGTACTTCTTGCATCATCCTGAACAACTCAAGCCCTGAAGAGGCAAAAAAAAAAAAAAGAAGTAGCACGAATTCCGCTATGGGTTTGTGATACATAGATTACTCTCCAGATGACAAAGCTGCACAACAAAGAAGTAGTTTTAAATAGATCTGGACCCATCATTGAGCCCTGGGTAACACCACTTGTGACCAGCCAACCACTGGATTTAACTCCATTCACCAACACACTTCAGGCCTGGCCATCCAGCCAGTTTTACCCAGCAAAGAGCACACCCCTCCAAGCCATGAGCAGCCAGTTTCTCCAAGGAGAATGCTGTGGGAAACAGTGTCAAAAGCTTTACCAAAGTCCAGGTAGACAACATCCACAGCCTTCCCCTCATCTACTAAGCAGGTCACCTTGTCATAAAAGGAGATCAGGTTAGTCAAGCAGGACCTCCCTTTCATAAAGCCATGCTGACTGAGCATGATCACTTGCATACGTCCTGTACATGCTATATGACAGCACTCAAGATGATCTGCTCCATAGAATTCCCCAGCACTGAGGTCAGACTGACAGGTCTGTGGTTTCCCAGATCCTCCTTCAATCCCTTCTTGTAGACACGTGTCACGTTTCCTAACCTCAAGTCAGCTGGGACCTCTCCAATGAGCCAGGATTGCTGAGAAATGATGGAAAGAAGCTCGGTGAGCACTTCCACCAGCTTCCTCAGCACCCCTGGGTGGATCCCATCCAGTCACCCTGGCCAGAAATCATGTATTACTAATCATTCACTCTCAACAGCACACTAGGGATTTTTCCTGGATGTAGCAATACAACATGTGGCAAGCTGCCATTCCCCAGGATCAGATAAATTCAGAGTTTTAAGACCAGACAGTTGTTTTAAATTGATCTTGTTGATTTAGGAAGTAAAGAATGGGATGTTTGCCACAGTTTGTGATGAGAAACTGTCTTCTGTCCCTGAAAGCCTAAAAAATCCTGGTAGGAGAAAGCACAGAAATGATGTACCCCATGCTAGTGTTCTAGGGTGTTATGTCCAATCTCTGCCCTCTCTCTGTGCACAGGACAGCTGGAAGCAGAGACAAGCAGAACAAGGCTGGAAACACTGGCAGCTCCTGTGCAGTGTGACAGAGTGCACTGATGGGTGGTGGCATAAAAGCTCTCCAGGAGAGGCGAGGAACAAACAGGCAGATGGGGGATGCACAAGAATTAAGACTGTACTGGACTATATTCAAGGGGCTCCCCCTCTTACTTTTAATGCACTCGACCAACCTAAGGGTTGCTGAACACTGTGGAACAGCAAACAGAGCAGGCACCATCCCCCTTGCAGGAAAGGCAGCAGATGAGCAAAGTCACACGCATCTGTGGGAGGGAGTAGAACCCTGCAAGCCTCAAGGAAAAGCATCCCTGAATCCAAAGCAAAGGGGCTACTGCAGCCTTCACAATTAGGGCAAAATACACTCTGTACAGCACCACGTGTAAAACACGAGCTACCTGCCTTGACGCATTTCCGGAGAGCCCTCAGATCATCCAGCAAGAGCTACACATCAACTTAAATAAACCCATTGTAATTACTACTGTGGGAATGGCACTCCCTGTCCTCCTTCCAAAAAGGCAGGCAGAAATGGAGCACTTGCCCTCAGAGCACACATGAAATGGGGGGTGGCGCAGGAAGAATAGCTTGGATTAAGCACAAAGCACCTTAAAGGCAAGTGCAAGTTCCTTCCCACCACCCTGGACAGAGAAGGAAGGAATCCAAGCTCTAGACCTAGACTGCTCCATAGCAGGAATTAGTACTTTGGGAACAGCTTTTTTTCCAAAGGGGTTTGATATTCTGGACTCATCAACACTGACCTAAGGAGGAGTGAGGGGAAACCAGAGCATGCAGAATGAGCACTCCACTTAAACGAATGGTTTGTGTTAAGGCACCATGATTTGGAGGCTCACTTCTATTTGAACGGTTTATGTTGCAGCCCCCCATGTTATCCTCTCACAGGTGCTGCATGCTGTCATGCATTTTACACAGTAACAAAAATTAACAGCACAGCAATTAAGCTTTCCACTAGCCTGAATCACCCCTATAAAAAACAGCCATTTGCTAATCCAGTTACCAAATTTAATGCTGTTTCAAGATTAAAAAACAAGCAGAACACCAAAAAAAAAAACCAGCAAGAAACAAACCACAACAAAAAGCCAACCAACCACAATTATTATTTCCTGGAAACTTGGCATCCTTTAGGCAGGCAGCTTATAGAATGGGTCTAAAAGTGGCCTATGAATGGGTTTGTGGGTAATCTTCAGCTTCTCCCTGTAACCACGCTACTCAAACATGTTGCTCCACAGGAATGACATCCCTTAAAGAGGTAACATTGGAGCGACCAGCAAGCCCCGAATGGGAACAGCCTGCAACCATGGGCACCAGGCCTGTCTTCACTGTGTCTAGCGACCAACTCAAGCCAAAACCAACTTGGCAAAACACCATCCTGAAAATAATCTGGGGTGAAGTACTGCAGCTTCTGCCACAAAAATGAGGAGAAGATGGGTTCATGCTTTGGAGATCTCCACATATGCACTGCCCTGTTTAGAAAAGCACTGGTGGGAAGATGAGCCACAATGATGCCAAAAACATGCATGTGGAGGCAGCACAAAGGGGAAGCACTGGGGAAATCTCGAGCTCTGCTCAACTCTGAGGGAAAACTCCTTCTTTCTCCAAGGATTTCAGTCAGGCTATGCAGAAATGGGCCATTTCCCCGACCTGTGCATAAGGTATTGCTGGCCTGCTTACCTTCCAGCTCTGCCACCTGAGCCACCAGGCTGCTGAGCCAGGCCTGGTGACACTGCCTGAATATGCCCAACCTACCAAAGCTCACAAAGGAGCACAGAAGACACGAGCCAAGTCTCCTCAGAGACAGAGACGAAAGCCCCAGCGATGCTACCACCAAACAGTACTGACCCACATGAAGACACAGGGATGCGGGCAGCATTAGACCACTTGGCAGGGCATGGTCTTCACCCCAGAAGTTCCCTCTTGCTCCATGACTGCCTGCGACCCCAGAGCATGCATGCAGCCAGACCTGTGTGTTTTGGACTTCAATTTCTGCTGTCAGAGCAGCTGAGCTACAGCACGTGTCAAACATGCCCTGCAATGGGTGGTGCCTTAAAACACTTTCCCCCCACCTCCATAAAGTATTTATCTACATGTTCAGCCTGTATTAATTAGAACAGTTGTTTAAGATGAAATTTAAATTGATCCAGTCCCAGACATGTGCTGTGTGCTTGCTGGCATCTGTGAATCACTGAGCTGAGCAGCAGCAATGGGTTTCGCTCCACCCGGCAAGGGTGTGAGAGCCTGGCACGAAGCTGACAAGCAGGGCTGGGTTTCCCAGTGGGAAGAGATGCAATGGAGCCGCCGGGATAGACGCGACACAAGTGGCTCCGGCTGCTGAGTAAGCACCAAAGAAGGTGTTTGGCTGGCCCTCTGCAATAGCTGCTCTCAATCCATTACCACAGGTTGAACCACCACCACACGTGGACTCCACACCATCCTTAGGTACAGCCTTTCCTTCCACCCCAGGCTCCTGTCAGTCTGGTTTCCCTGCACTGCTGGTCTGTCTCTCCCCACATCTTTCTGCTTACCCTAGTGTCACAGAAACATCCCCTGGGCAGTGGATTTAGGGCTTCTCTGGCTATGGGCTCCATCCCAGACCCATACACCATCATCTATTGCACAGCTGGGCAGGAAAGAAGGCAAACCCTTTTCTGCACCTCCCACTTGCAGCTACAATAGGGCACAGGGAAGGGAATACTACAGTGGCTGAGGAGTTGCCTTTAGCCTGCACCGACTTCCCTGGAAGCTGCCTGCTCTTGTAGACAAGCCACACCAGTCCCAGGCTGATTGCAAGCAGATGCTTTCCCTTCTGCTCCACAGAAGCTTCCTTGCAATCGCCCTGCACAAGTGATCTGTGGCTCTGCTGCAGCACCCAGTCCAGCTAGGGCTCCCTTTCACCCTTGCCAGCATACTTGGAGCAAGGAGCTGGCAGCCAGGTGAGGACAGTCACGCCCAGCATCTGGCCTGGAAGCAGCATATGCCAGCCAAGGGGCTTTCTCCCCCATCTTCTGCCCAGAAAACAAGAACTGGGGCTTCCAGAGCTCACATAGAAGCAAACCTCACTTGGGAGCCTGACAATGCGGTTAAACCCGAGAAGCTGATGTGCTGTCAGATATCACCTCCGAGCATCTGCTAGAAAAGAAGAAGGATCTGCAGCTGCTCTGCACTTGGAGCCACCCAGCAGAGATCAGG